TTTTTTTTTTTTTTTTTTATCTATCCGTATCATGCATATGGATATATTTGTAGTAAAAAATTCGATTAATTTAGCACAAAAGAGAAAATTAGCATATAACGAATATCACTTTATTACTTATTAAGGTCGCTAAAACTAAGGGTCCGTTTACTTGCAAGAATGGAATTGGGTGGAAATAAAATGAATTATAGGGAATTGAATTGCATAGAACTTGTTTTACTGGGAATTATTAATTAATTGTATTTGATTGCTATAAGTTTTTACTTCGAAAATATCGAAATTTTGAATCTTTTGATATTCGTTTGACTTTATTTTCCATAAAAAATATTCATTAAATGAATAGAATTTGTTACAATGTGGGATAAAATTTGTTTACATTACCAAAGAAGTAACTTTTCCCACCAAACTCATGAGAAAACATTTTCCTCAAAAACCAAGAAAATGTGCAAATCCAATTCCATGAAAAATTAAGTCAATCAAACCTTCAAAAAGATGAAAATAGAATTTAATTTCAATCTTCCACGAAAAATAAAGACAAATCAAACAAGGGCTAAGAAGTTAATAACCACGATCCACGAGGGTCAGATAAACTAACAAAAAGTTAATGACCCATGAAGGAGATGGTTTGTATCTGCAGTTGAATGTTTGGAATACTCTCTATTGCATCTCAAAAGTCTCGACGGCTCTTGAAACCGTTAATAATCCATGCTGAATCGAGAACTAATACCAATTATCAAACAAAGCCGTAAGCTAGATTTTGTGATTCAGCCCCCTGAGCCTCCAAGATTCTGCATTTTGGTCCATGTACTTGTCTGGCGTCTGCTCCCTCAGAATTCTTCCCCCGTGGAGACGTCCCTGAAAGTTTCAGTGTTCTGGTTTTCCATAATTGGTCCCTTAAATTCCATAAATCTACATGTTCATCCCTAAATATTCAGGAGTCCGCAAATTGGTCTCTGCATCTTCGGATTGATCAAATTGGATGTCTGAATTCTCCGAAGTCAGCAAATCAGTCCCTCAAATGTCTGAAGTCTTCAAACCAGTCCCTAAATCTTCAAATTTCTGCAAATTTTCCCCCGACCTTTGTGGATATTGCACTGGACCCTGAAGTCAATCTTGCTACAAACTAGTCCCTGATATTTATTTCCTCTCCAAGTTGGTCCATGAAACTTATGTTTACTGCAAATCAGTTTCTGCACATTCTGGTAAGTGTAATTCAGTTCCTAGGCTATTAGAATGCTGTAAAACCATCCTTCTGGCTTATGAGACGCAACTCTTGCGGACCTCCACGTCTGTTCGAATAGATGTCGCAATTCCCATCCGCATCATCCCCAGCATTTCTGCCCAGAACACTCGACTCCTAGCGTTTTGAATTTACTTTCTAGGTAAATTTCTTCTTCTTCCAAGTTGTCAATTTTGGAATACGATTGCTGTTATTTATTTTTTTACATTTTGAAATCTGCTGTTATTTATGAGTTATAACAATCATCTTGTTAAAAAATAAGGAATATGGCAGCTTCGATTCAGAAACAGGGTATTTTTCATGTGTAGAAGTATTTGTTTACATTTTCATCTATTTTATTTTTCATCAGTCTCTCCGGGTCTTGCGTATCTTTTGATTTACCTGTAAACTTTGATTTTTATGTTATCGTGTTTCTTGTGATGACAACTTCTGGTGCACCTTTAGGATCTTGGTAAACACCCCCCCCCCCCACCCCACCTCCTTTCTCCTTGTAAGCATTTTGGTGTTTTAGTTGTTCACACGATTGTGACTCCAACCCCCCCCCCCCCCACCCCACTTCCTTTCTCCTTGTAAGCATTTTGGTGTTTTAGTTGTTCACACGATTGTGCTAAACAAGTTAGATGAGTGATTTAATCCAGAGCTTATCTCAGTGGGTGTGTCGGCCGAATTGGGCAAAACGAAATCACGTCAGCCAAAATTTGCAGTTCAATCTTTTCCATTTGTATACATGTTATGAACCAAAGATCATACTTTTTTTCTTCCTGCTCATATGAACTAAAATTTAATCGTTGTGGTCATATATGGCTCTGAGGAATCGGTTGTAAGTTGGCATTGTTGGACATGTTGAAGTTGAGATGGTGTAGTGGCTGTGGGAGTGGTGAAGTTGGTGGCAATGTTGTTGATTATATTAGTCATGGATGAGAAGAAGAGGTCAAGAAACTGAATCAAATCCAAACCAAATATTTTATTAATCTATAACTACATCTTGTGTGGTTTGGATGTTTGAAATAGGATTCAGAAGACAAAAAATCCTAACCAAAATGGATTGGATACACCAAAGCATACGCTGGCTTGGTGTTGCTTGTTGAACTGGACGGTGTGCTCATTTGAGATTTGGTTACCGGTTGTTTACTTGGCTGCTATATTCTCGAGTTTTTTCCTATGCATGAATTGCCAATAAAGCCTTTTTCCTCTGGTGAAACTCATTTCCTACCATGGATCACAGTTTATTTTTTTAGTTTTTATTTTTTTAGTTTAATCATGGAAAAATAAATTAACCTAGAGCATATTAAAGAAGTTGAAGAAAGTGCAATGATGTTAGAGATGTACCACATTTTGCGATAGTATCTATAACATTTTTTTCATCCTGACTTTACTGATGTATAGTGTCATTTGAACTTTCTTCTTTTTTGCAGTAATTACCTGGTCAGCATGGCATATGGATTGTGATAATTTTATGTTGCTGGACTGAATCTTGTACTATTCAGGATATAAAACAGCAACTTCGACGCCTGTGACCCTAGGTGTTTGTTAAGAGTTTCAAAATATTGACAATGGACAAAATAAATTTTCAATTTCTTCTTATTTTCTCAGCAATTCTTCGAGTCTTCTTAATATTGTATGGGGAGTGGCAAGACGCTCATATGGAGGTCAGATATACAGACGTCGACTATCTTGTCTTTTCTGATGCTGCAGCCTTAATGGCATCTGGAAAATCACCTTACGAAAGATCAACATATCGGTATTCACCACTTATTGCTGCTCTTCTCATGCCAAATTCATTTCTTCATCCCCTGTGGGGAAAATTTCTCTTCTCGGCCTCAGGTATACCTTGTCGATAAACAAAATGCAGTTATCTTTAAAGTGGTGAAAGAACTGGAGTATTGTTAAATAGTTGATTGATTAGAACTGGGTATATATGAACTATTCTTTGAGCTTTAATGAACTCAAACTGAAAGTCAAAAGGAGAAAGTGAGCATACTTCATTACTCTGTACTCAATTATTAACCACGAAACTCTTCAGTTTCCTTGTGTTCATCATCCCTTGACCAGTGATTGGAAATTTTCAACTTGGGAGTTAATGTTGGTTGAGTCCTATATAGTCTATTAGTTTTCATCATCTTTTTTTGAGCAAAGGAAAATGTGGATGACTAAAAATGATGTCATTACACCTGTACTTAAATAATGGGAGTACAACTTTTATTATGAGTAGTTTTTGGACTCTCCGTTTTACTTTTAGCTCGTAGTTAATACTAAAATTTACTGCGAATACTGTTGTTTATTGGCATTTAGTCTGTGCAAAAAAATTTAAACTAGGTCAAATTGTTATAGAATAACTCTTCATATGTTTTCATGAAAAGGAAAGAAAGAGAATAACAGATTAACTCTACCCTTTTCTAGTTTCATATGTTTTCATGAAAAGGGAAAGAAATAGAATAATGGATTAACTCTACGCTTTTCTAGCATGTAGATAGCTTCTCTGATGCAAAGAAAAAAATAGTTGAAAGCATTTCTGGTTTGGGCTATGTTAGGGCATCTATTTTTTAATCCGGGACTTCTCTTTCTCTTTACAAGTAGTTATATTAGTTTATGTAATATTCCATATCAGTTTTATATCTTGCCTTTAAAATTCTATTTAACTGCATTACTGTACATTTTGGATAATCAGATAATAATAGTTTTATGCTGAATTCACGTGACAGATCTACTAGTAGGATTGCTTATACATACCATTTTGAAGCTACGAGGGGTGCCTGAGAAACTGTGCACCTTCTCTACAATGGTATGGCTTTTTAATCCTTTCACCTTCACCATTGGAACCCGTGGGAACTGTGAGCCCATTGTCTGTGCCATGATTCTGTGGATCATTATCTGTCTGATGAACGGTAAACTTTCTATAGATTTTGATTTTCTTGTTAGTAGAATCTTTCTTGTAATTATTCGCCGGTTAATCTAGTATCTGTTTCCATAAGTCTACATGTTACGTAAATTCAGCAGTGACATAGACAAATATAATTTGACTAGACTGTGTGCTGATGTAAAAAGGCAAACTATCTGCCGAGTTTTTGGAGGTACCATTGACAGTTGAATTGGCAACTTCATTAAATTACTTGAACCAAAGAAAGGTCATGCATTAAATGCATAGCACCACCAAAAGGAAAAATATTTTGGAAAAAGTTACGAGTTTGGTCTAAATATTGTGCTTTACATGTAGATGAACCCTGTAAGTCTGTCAGTGTTGTGGATTTTCTATTGTTGAAATTCCTAAAATCCAGCTCTGATTTTCAATCTTCCGCTGCTATTGTAGGAATTTTTTCTTTTGCATTCTTGTCCTAAATCATAAATGATTACATGCGATCATGATCAAACCCATATTCTGGATTTCACTTTCCTCTAATATGTTAAAAAACGTTTTATTGGATCTGTAAGTTTTAAATTTATCAAATATTTAGACCCAATATGTGGAATTACACAATTAAAAGTAACAAGTCACTTTCTAATTGTTTTTAGGTGATTAGTCAATCAAGTTCAATTATAGTATGGTTTAAATGTCACAATCAATAATTAAAATAGTAAAGAACACCAAAGATGATCACGGAAAAATCATTACTGGGTAAAAATTTCGGGCACTTTGCCAGTCAATAATTCACTATAAATCGAAACAAACTTACTGTATGGTCCAGGCTTGTTTACCCCGTAGAATTTTTTATTTCAATTCTTAAAGTCTCCCTTAATCATACTGGAGATGCACTCCTTCAAAATAAATCCCAACTCCTGGTTTATACCTTAGCCCTCTTGGACTGCGTGCTCTTGACGCCAGATCTTGACTCTTGATACCCCATCTTAGTCCTGAATTTGTACTTCTACAACAGCTCTTGATCCCTGTTATCGATTTATTTTCAGTAGATTAGGTGGTTGATCAAAAGATCTTCTGTGGTTTAATATGAAACAATATGGCTTAATCAAAAAAATATGATTTGGGAGAATTTTTAGATCAAGTGATATGTGGTGGTTGTATCTTGGAATTAATGAATGTTTTAGATCATCAAAGAATTGATCTCTATGGAATAAATATGATTCAACACACTTTTTGACTTCTCATAGGGTGTATATTTATGATGGATAATGTTTGGGATGAAAAGAAACTCAAAATCAGCTTGAAAATCGAACATTACTGTTTCTCGAATAACCGCGTGGCCCGAGCTCTAGCCAGCGACGGACGAGCAGCAGTTGAGCAGTCATCATTATTTTCATTATAGCTTTTTCTCTCGATATCCTATTGTGGTGATTCAAAATGCATTCGAAGCTAATTCAATGGGCTACAATTCTATTAGGATAGCCTTGTCCAAATTCCAATGTTTTCGATGTGAAAAATGCGTTGCAAGTTGCGGCTGAGAATTTGGAACATAACTTGTGGGGCTCTTTGACACTTTTTAGACTTCTAATTATATTCCAATGATCATATGTGATATTCTTGGATATTTTGGACTCCTCCAAGGACTATGCTACCAGCTCAACCCTTTTGAATTTAATTAGGATTCAATAACTCATTTTTTGACTTTGATTACAACTCGATAAATTTCTAATACAATTCAACTAAGATTTGATTTTGACTAAGAAAATTGTCAATTACAAATTTAGAAATTGCCAATTATAATTTGGATTTAACAGGACCCCATGACCGGGGGCATATGCAAGTGCAGTGTACAGCGTAAACCTTCAAGTATGGAATTATGAAACTAAAAGCAAAATAACTCAAAAACAAATATGCAGAAAAAATATAGAACTGCATGAAGTCTTGAACTATGAAGTAGCATAATATAGCATCTTCTTATACCATGTAATTTAGAACTTGGATAATTTGGTTTTGTTTGTGAGAGCTTGAGAGGAACTAATTTACATGGCTCTGTATTTAAATTATGTATAACTATCTCCAGATAAAGACTATTATGTGTAACTAGGTTGTTTGAAAATTTTAATTCTCTGAGGTCCCTTTATTTCTTGGGCATGCACCTTCACTTTAGGGCAAAAATCTCATTTTCCATTAATTTTTTGGTCTTTACCTATACTTGGATTAAAAATTGGCATTTTAACATGTCCTCCATTATCTTGGACTGCAGACTGGCTGGTGCAAGCTGCATTTTGGTATGGGCTCGTTGTTCACCTGAGAATATATCCTATAATTTATGCACTTCCCATCATCTTAGTTCTTCATCCTCTGCACTTCCAGCCTGGTAAGAAGCCTGCCCTCGTGGACTGGAGCTTAAGAAAGTCAAAGTCAGTCCAGGGCTCAAGCAACATGAGAATTACTGGTTTACAAGGAATTCGGATCTTTTTAGCAAGCATTTTTACTTGGAGGAGACTCGTGTTTGGGATTGTTTCTGGATCGATCTTCTTCATCTTGACTGGATTGTGTTTCTACTTTTATGGATGGGATTTCTTGGACGAGGCACTGCTATACCATCTCACACGGACAGACCCAAGACACAACTTTTCAATATACTTTTACCACATATATCTCCACTATGAACAAGAGTTCTCAAGCCTGGAAAAGCTCGTATCCTTTCTGCCTCAGTTCATTGTGCAGCTAGTTATCATCTTTCGCTTTGCATATGACTTGCCATTCTGTTTCTTTGTGCAAACTGTGGCATTTGTAGCATTCAACAAGGTATATAATAACTCTTAAACCTTTTATCCTCTTATTTTTCCTCTATCCAAGTAACATATTATTAGAATCATTTAGGCTTTTATAGATTGCGTCATATTCTGCTTAATATTGTTACAGGTTATAACTGCACAATACTTTGTTTGGTTCTTCTGCCTGTTGCCTCTAATACTACCATGGAGCAATATGAAGCTACAGTGGAAAGGCTTGGCCTGCATCTTTTTGTGGATGGGAGCTCAAAGTCATTGGTTAATGTGGGGCTACTCGCTGGAATTTCAAGGCAAAAATGTTTTCATTCAGCTATGGATGGCAAGTTTACTGTTCTTGGCTAGTAATACTTATGTTCTTATCAATATTATCTGCAACCATGCGTACTGCCCTGTGTTTAAGCAGTTAAAGCACGAAACTTCAAACAAAACAACGAAATATGACTAGTGTACTGTGCATCTTGTTTTGAAATATTAGAGCTCTTAGGCTTTTTCGAGAAAGTACTCCGGTGCAAATTTCCAAAGATAATCTCTGTGATGACTTTCTTTTTTGTTGTATTCATATTTCTGAGTAAAGAATCTTTAATATAGACTAGTGAGTCTTGCCCCGAAGGAGGAGCCCTTCCGTAAAATTCTATTTGCAGTTAATGGCATTGCTTATTTGGTGATTTTCTTGGAACTGAAAATTAGTTGATTACACGTGATATCTTGTACATGTTGAATTTGCGTGCACGAAAGTACCAATATAAATTATATTTTTAGCAGTTAGAATCTATCTATTTTTCAATATATAGTGAGAAGTTAGATCTTAACATGCCTTATTTTCGTTGTGTGTCTATCCCCTTGATGTGATGATCGTGTTTGCTATCTGCAATTTGACATGTACGTAACAAACCTTAATATTTGGAGATTGCACTTGAGAATGTTTGACAGCAAAAATTGCAAATATGTCCATCTGGGAGCATATATGACTATAGTAGAATGTACTACCAATTAGATTTGGCATGTTCACCAAGTCCAAGGCATAGAGGTTGAGCAGGAAATAGGGAATTTTGACAAGAAATGTTGACGGCCAATACTTGGCGTGCATTCATTGGAAAGATGGAAATTTTTTGTTTTTTTAAAAGGCGAGTCACCGTTCGTCACATCAGTTCTGTCAACTTTTCCTGTCAAAAATCCATGAGTAGCTTAATTCACTAATCAATGTGGTAGGCGGAAGCACTCAATTAAGGTAATAACAATTACAGAAATATCTTCTTTTAAAAAATACATAACCCTCATGAAATTTATTTTTCATTTTTTTTGTAATCGATTCTTCTTGGTTAAGCAAAAGTAATTTATAATTCCTATTTTACCCCTAGAAACTATTATTGAATAAATATATAACTATACTTATTTCTCTTTTCTTTTCTTTTTTCTCATTTCTTGAGATTTTTTTTTAAATGCAAACGTTGAATACAAAATTTTGGGTCAAATTTATTCCTTTCTAAGAAAAATGTAGAAGTTGATTTTGATGAAATATGTCAATATTGGGGCTCCCATTCTTAAATCTCATTTTCTCACAAATTCATTTTGAACTACACATTTCATGGGATCCATAATTTTTATCAACTTTTTAACAATACATTTCCTCAAATTTTATCAAAATTTACTAAAAAATTACAATTTTAAATCGAACTAGATGGGGGCTGAATTTAATTATTGGTGAAAATCAACAAATAAGAAACAAATAATTTTATCACGAGAGAAAATGTCAAAATGAATAGTTTATGCAATTTTTTTGTAATTCTTAAAACTATAAGGGTTAATACCATAATGTGATTTCAATGATCCTCGCTTGAAGTTCCAGTAATTTGCTCTATGGTCCCTATTTTTTAAATTCATTTTTAATAATACATTCTTTTAATAAAATAATTTTACATGTAAATTTTAATTTATTTCCTACTTTTTATCCATGCAATTTAAAAAAAATAACAATAATTTTTCACAAAATTTATTAGCAAAAAATTTCCAAAATAAAGAAATTTTTTGAATTTGCGTATAATATCATTTTATTGAAAAATGTGTAGTTAAAAATAAGAGAGATAAATATATTTTATAAATAATAGAGACCAAATATGGACACAATCTTAATTTAGGCATACCAAACACAATAATAAAGAATATATTTATGTCATTTCGGAAAGTAGATACGGAGCCTGAATAATTTGATGGGAAGACTTCATAAAAGCTGAGAGACCAAACGTGCGAAAAGTTCACAATATCTAAATATTAGAGCATGTGTTTGTACTTGTATTCGACGACATAATTTTCACTTCATTGGAGAATTGGAAATTTGATGCAAATAGTCCCTAACTTATTGCCCACGTACAATTTTGGTCCCTATTCTTTTTCTTGTCATTAGCATCCTCAACCAAATGTTATGGTGTGCAAATATTGTTTATACGGTTTCCGATCATTTGAAGGTAAGAAAATTTATTTAATTTTATTAAAAGACTATAATGCCTTTACTTTTAATTTATTAAAGAAGATAAAACATAATAAAAAGGTCGTGATAAAATATAAGAGCACTGTAAATTTTTAATCAAAAAGTTAAGTCTTAACGGTTGAATAGATGAAAACTGCAGAAAAGGACCACTTGCGCACCAAAAATAATAGCTTGGTGCCAAGAAAAATGAATAGAGACCAAAATCACATAGTAGCCATAGGTTGAGTACTGTTTGTGCAAATTCTAATGAATTTTTTTGTAAAACGACTCTGTTTGACGTTACTTTTCAAAAATCAAAATGAGCTTTCGAGACTCAAAAGTTAATTTGGATTTATTTGGTTAATTTTATAAAAGTGTTTTTTTAGTTATAAAAATTTTTAGAGAAAATTGATCCAATGTGACTTCTTTTAAAAACACTTTTGAAATATGAAACTCTTTTAAAAATTAGTTAAAAAAAAAAATTAAGATAACTTTCTTTAAAAGTTCTTTTATAGAAATCAAAAATAAAAACTATGTCAAACGAGGCCTTAGACCTACGGTCTCTAAAAATAGTCAATTCACGGTCCACCTTTTTATCGAATTGACTTGATCATGAGAAGTCTATACATCGTTCATTTTCATTTATATTGTTTCCTTAGAGCAATGTTAATTAGTATTCATTGTCCTTATCATCAATCTATATAATAGTAGAGATTCACTTAGATTTGTTCGTTGCATGTTCAGTCAATTCATTGAGCAGGTGTCATTTAGGCAGGTGCTAAACATCACCAGTGCTTACAGTATTATTATTTTTTTCTATCTTCTTATGCATAAGATTTTGAGATTTGCTACAGGTAAACAAAGGTGTACATAAGGGTGTCCATAATGGACACCTGGCTCCCTCCCATTGGAGAGAGTGCCGGACCCACCAACACTCCATCTAATGGGAATGCGCCGGGTGTCCATTATGGACATCCTTATATACACATTTGTGTACTTCTAGCATTTTTCTAAGATTTTCATATGTTGAACTTCATATACGTACTTTTTACATCAGCTCTTCTGAAATTGTTCTATTATAACACTCACATAAGAATGCATACATTGTATATAAATCTAAAAAAAAGAAAAGGAAAAAAAAAAAAGAGAGAAAATTTTCATAATTAAAGAGAGGGTATTTTTTTAAGAGACCTCTTAAACGTTGATTTGGACTAGGAGAAGGGTTGATTTTTCTTTCTATCGTGATATACACGTTGCAAGTTCATGAACCTTTTTTTCCAACTAGATATAGATGTATAAGTTGATTAGTTGGAAATGATATGTCTATATACTTCATTGTACCATGAATTGTTTTGTACAAGTATGACACAACATTTCAAGCACCTAATGGTATTAGGCTCACAAAGGTATAACGATGAATGTGGCAACAATCTAAAAGAAGTGGAGAGACTTGTCGAGGATCAAATGATAGCCAATTGACGAAAAATACCCATAGGTCGACTAAATGAACTATCTTGAATAAACTCATATTAGAGAAATTAGTCACCGCAAATGAAATTTGGTCAAACATATTACTCTGAATAATCAAGTGAAATCTCATCATACCAAAACCCTACAAACTAGATGTAGTATTGGTGTACATTCATTGGGGACGTGGTTGGGTTCACAATATGAAGTGCTGATCAATAATGTGTTCCAAGAACAATCTCACCTATTGCCCACGTACAAGTTTGGTCCCTATTCTTTTTCTTGGCATTAGCATATCCT